GGTGTACATATGTATAACACTGATACTTCTGACTGCTATGATATGGGTGTACATGTGTATAACACTGATACTTCTGACTGCTATGACATGGGTGTACATATGTATAACACTGATACTTCTGACTGCTATGATATGGGTGTACATGTGTATAACACTGATACTTCTGACTGCTATGATATGGGTGTACATGTAGGCCTCTAGTCCAATGCTTGTAAGTCTAGATTTCAGTGGAGACGAGTCATCACGTCCACTGCCCGTATGAGACATTTAATTGTTACATCTTGTACAGGTTGTATCCTAAGCCCACAGCCATCACTTCTGGTTCATGCTAAACATTTAATACCAAGAAATTGCACCACAGAAAACACTACATGAAAAGATAGTTTTACACCATTTGGTTTAAAGAAATTGATTGATATGGATGTTACATGAGCCAGAAAAAAAATCTATTTTAAATGGTATACAACACAATTCCGTTAAGACATATCTTTATGTGTGTTTGTGCGATGAATGTAATCTGATCCTGAAAATGAGATACAGGACATACATGATGCAGTGTACATATACGAGATTGTCGGTGTGATAGAGTATCCGGGTGACGTAGTATTTCGTGGATTTTGAGGAAGTCTTTCTTGAAGTGAGTTACAATTTAACTGTAAGGCCAAACTTAGTTATACACATACCTATATAGGGTCCCTATATAGCATACAGTGACACGCCCGAAGATCATGACATAATATATATCTGATACTGTGGCCTATATAATCCTCCACATATAACACTACCAACAGTTCCCATTACATGCACAGATAGTACATTTGTATCAGTTTTAAAGTTTCAAGATAAAAACAAACAAAAAGGACTTGCTTCCTGATCAGATATAGTTAAAAAAAAGAATAATTCAGTCATCGGCCTTTGGCGAATCTTAATGGGAGTTTGAATGATTGCAATAGCCCTAACATATAGAATTACCTGTTATGTGGATGATTAGTAATAATAATTGCAAAAGCATTGTCTTGTCTTGTCAAGAGAGTGAGGTTAAATAATACTGATGATGCAGGGAACTTGAAATTGTCTTTATAAATCTGTTAAATGCTGATTTCATGTGTTGGCGAGCGATGTCAATAGATTAGCGATTTTGTTTGATTGAAATACACGTAAACATCTAGTATAACACATGACATCAGTGTTAAATGTTTTAAAATGAAAAATTCTTCCCAAATATTAGAAAAAACAGGACAACTGCCTACAGAGCCAAAAAAATAAAAAGTACATTTTGTTGTGAAATGTTGACATATAGGCATCATGTGACAAATTTTAGCACTAGCAAAAGAACAGCCTTGTTTAGATAATAAGATAATAAGTCACCTTGCTTATTATAGGCGTATGGACACTGGGGTAGACTAATAAGATAATAGGTCACATTATTATAAGCATATGTACACTGAGGTAGACTAATAAGATAATAGGTCACCTTAGTTATTATAGGCGTATGGACACTAGGATAGACTAAAAAGATTATCTAGGTCACCTTACTTATTACAGGCGTATGGACACTGGGGTAGACTTAAACGATAATAGGTCACCTTACTTATTATAGGTGTATGGACACTGGGGTAGAATAATAACATAATAGATCATCTTACTTGTTATAGGTGTATGGACACTAGGGTAGAATAATAAGATAATAGGTCACCTTACTTATTATAGGTGTATGGACACTGGGGTAGAATAATAAGATAATAGATCATCTTACTTGTTATAGGTGTATGGACACTGGGGTAGACCAATAAGATAATAGGTCACCTTACTTATTATAGGTGTATGGACACTTGGGTAGACATAAAATCGAATAAGGCTTTCATTACATTTTACTTAGTAAAATAGATTTAATCAACATATATTTGAATATAGCGGTGGGAAATATAACTCTGGATTTGAAAATGTTTGAAAAATAATCAACTCATGTGCAAACATTCTTCGTTTAATATTTGGTCCAACATGTTAAAATCCTGAGTTATAAATTCCACCTTGATATACACACATACCCAGAACTAAGTACATACTGATATAGCAGCATATGGTATTCATACTATTTATTAAATGATGAAGGTAATAATTGAATTTTATTCAGCAATTAGCTAGCCTATACTTGATACATTTTGAAGTGTAGCTGCGACTCTGTGATGCAGAATATCGGGAAACTTAATGATTTCTATATATTATAGATGTACAATTAGCATATTACAGTACTTAAAGCTAAATAGTAATAGCTATTATTTCTCTTTACAGGGCGCATATTATTTGACAGGATGCCTTTTGGCAAAAAGACAAAGAAGTCGACGTCGACAGAGGCGCCGGCGATGGAGATTTCTGCACCAACCATGGTAAAACACAACTTCCATGTTGGTTTTAACAAAGTCACAGGTTCTTTTGAGGGCCTGCCTCCTCAATGGTCAACCTTACTGCAATCTTCGAACATCTCGTAAGTTTTATAAAATGCCTTCTCGAGACTTAAAACCAAGTGTAAGATTTGATGTGCTGCACATTATAATTTGCAGGTTTGAATGTGACAGAAGATTTTATGCTTTAATTATACCAGAGATTAATGCAGGAATAGAAAGTTAGTAAAAATATGCACTGTAGGTGCTAGACCTTCAGCGAGGGCTGCAGGCCAGAGCCAGGGGCAGGGGGAGAGTACAAGAGGGGGGATTACATCTTATAATTTTGTTTCTTTCACTTCATTGTAGTATAGATTATATAATATCAGCAGTGACAATTAACAAAAGCACAGGGAAAATGAAATTAATCACTCAGTTTTGTAACTGATGGAAAATTAAAAAATTGGAACCAAGACAGATATAGTCATGAGGTAGTATTTTAGTTACAAGTGGGACAATGTTTTACCTGAAATATGGGGAAAATAAAGCCAAAATTGGAGAGGGGAACTGGCCAATATATCCATGTATACATACGATGTACTACTGCATATCAACAGGTCGGAGGAACAGAAGGAAAACCCAGAGGCAGTCATCAATTCACTACGACTGTTTACAAAGTCTTTCAAACATAAGCCTGCTGACCATCAAAAATATCTAAAAGTAGCAACCACAATTGATGAATCTGATGATGATTTAGATAGTGAGGATGATTCTTCAAGCCGATCAAACAACCGTGACTCGGATGATCCCCCAACACCTCATTTTGACAATGGGGGGGACCCCCAGACTGACGTGTTTGTTCAGGTGCCAGACAATAAGGACCTGAAACAGGCCAACTCTACCCAGAAGGAAGTCTCTAAAGACAAGGTATAAACATTGAGCTATTTCTAGATCTGCCATGGTCAGTTAACTCTACCCAGAAGGGAGCCCCTAAAGACAAGGTAAGTACATTGAGCTATTTATAGATCTGCCATGGTCAGTTAACTCTACCCAGAAGGGAGCCTCTAAAGACAAGGTATGTACATTGAGCTATTTATAGATCTGCCATGGTCAGTTAAGACAGGTTTGAACTGTATGGTTCTGTACAAGGCTTCACTTTAATCAGATGTCTCAGCAGTAAAGGGTCCACAGTAGAAAACTCTGAAAATGAATTATGTTTGATACACAAGATTTAAATTAATACTGTATAATTCCAAAATACATTATGAAGATACATCATTGTATAAAGATACATACATTATAATATATATGATTTGTAAATCATCTACATTATTTGTGAGTAAGATACATCAATGTAAGTAAAATAAGTAAAAGTAGATTTTGTATGTAGTATTATCTATAGCTTCTACTCCATGGATCTGTGTGATTTCTAATATTTCCTGTAACATGTACTATGTGGCATTGGTGAGAGCCAATTAATCAAAAAGACTTTTTCCCCCCACTATTTTTTGTCATCTTAGAACATTCTACACAAAATTTTGAATTAGTGTATTTCAATATTACAGATAATTATGTCAGTAGATATGATAGAAGTTCTAAGTACACATGTTCTCCTATGTTACATTAAGTTGTGAGTTTACAAGTACTACTATGTTACAGAAAGATGAGGTGGATGCTGCCAATGTTGACAGAGTCCTTGAGGCTTGTGCCAAGGTCAAAGTGAACGATGAAACCAAAGAGGAAGATGATGCACCAGTTCGTCGAAACAAAACACAGAAGAAAAATCTGTCTGACATCGAAATCAATGCTGCCTTAGGTACAGGATTGACTGTATTTTCTGACAATATTGCAAATATCATTTTGCTTATTTTTTAGCTAAATTGTCTTGGTTTACAGTTCATAGGAATTTGAATATTCCTTTGGTTTTGACAATATTCTCATTTTTAGCTCACCTGCCCAAAGGGCAAGTGAGCTTATGCCATGGCGCATCTGTCGTCCGTCCGTCCTTTAAAACGCTACTTGTCCTGAACAGCTTAGTAGATTTTGACTAAATTTGGTCTGGAGCATCCGGGGCATAGGGGTGGGACCCAATAGGGGAATAGAGGTAAAACCTTAAAAATCCTTCTTCTACTGTAGGGATTAAAGGATTGTATCCTAATTTAATCTGGAGCAACCTTGGACCAAGGGGATTCAATTTTGTATAAAGGGTGGGTGCGGCCCCCTTGGGGGCAGGGTAGAATAGGTGAAATAGAGGTAAAACCATTAAAATCCTTCTTCTACCGTAGGGATAAAGGAATTGTATCCTCATTTAGTCTGGGGAATCCTTAGGCCAAGGGGACTCAATTTTGTATAAATGGTGGGTGTGGCTACCCTGGGGTCAGAGGGGCAGGACTATAGGGAAATAGAGGTAAAACCTTAAAAATCCTTCTTCTACCGTAGGGATTAAGGGATTTTATTCTTATTTAGTCTGGAGCATCATTTGGCCGAAGGGACCTTTTTGTATAAATGGTGGATGTGGCCACCCTGGGGTCAGAGGGGCAGGACTATAGGGGAATAGAGGTAAAACCTTAAAAATCCTTCTTCTACCGTAGGGATTAAGGGATTTTATTTTTATTTAGTCTGGAGCATCATTTGGCCGAAGGGACCTTTTTGTATAAACAGTGGTTCTGGCCCCCCTGGGGGCAGAGGGGCGGGGCCCAATAGGGGAAACATAGCAAATTCTTCAAAATCCTTTTTCTTCTGTAAGAATGATAGGATTTTGTCCAAATTTGGGATGAAGCACTGTTTGGTGAAGAGGAAGCAATTTTGTATAAACGGTGGGTCTGACCCCCTTGGGGCAGAGAAGCTGGCCCAATAAGGGATATAGAGGAATAGCTTTAATTTCCTTTTCTTCCGTTGGGGTGAAGGTGTTTTGACCAAATTTGAACAATAGCATCCTTTTTGGAAGTAATATTGATTTTGTATAAATGGTTGGTCTGACCCCCCTGGGACCTGAGATGTGGGGCCAAATAGGGTTAATTTAGCAAATTTCTGAATATTCTAAGTAGGAATGACAGGTTTTGTCTCTCTATAGCATCCTTTGGTGAAGGGGACTTAATTTTGTATAAATGGTGGGTCTGACCCTCTGGGGGCAGAGGGGCGGGGCCCAATAGGGGAAACATAGCAAATTCTTCAAAATCCTCCTTATACGCAAAGAAGTATTATGGTATGTGGTTGTCAATCCATCCGGCATAAACTTTTGTTTGTCCGGAATCTACTTTTTTCGAAACTCTTTGAAACTTGGTATACATTATAATCATGATATGAAGTTGTGTCTCCCTTAATAGAATCTTGATTCAACATTTTTTCCAATAGTTATTGCCCTTTGTTCATTTCAGTATTTGATTTTTTGTACAGAGATCTCCTCCTACATTTTTTGACGGTTTTCCTTGAAACTTCGAAGGCTAAATAATCATGATATGTTGCTGTGTTTCCTTCAAAAGAATTTTGATTCAACAGTTTTTTGTAAAAGTTATTGCCCTTTGTTTATTTCAGTATTTGATGTTTGTCGGGCAATCTCCAACATTTTTCAACGGATCTCTTTGAAACTTGGTATACATTATAATCATGATATGAGTACTCTTGTTATTCTGTAAGAATTTTGTATAAATTGTGGGTGTGAACCCCCTGGGGGCAAAGGGGTTGGGCCAATAGGAAAATAGAAAAATAACTTTAAAATCCTTCTTCTGTAGGAATGACAGGATTATGTACATATTTGGTCTAAAGCAGCCTTTGGTGAAGGGGACCTAATTTTGTATCAACGGTGGGTCTAACCCTCCTGGTGGCAGAGGAAACAGCAAATTCTTTAAATTGCTTTTCCTGTAGGAATGACAGGATTTTGTCCAATTGCATATAAATATAACCCCTGACTAACCATGTAATACTTGTACACTTCAAGCAACATCCAACATCTGGCTATTTCAACTTCAATTTTGCTAACATTTCCAGGTGAGTGATACAGGCCCTCTGGGCCTCTTGTTTGACAACCATAACATACCCAAAATTTTGACACGGTTCCTATGGTTTTGACAAAATTTTCTAGGCATTGACTCTCTTGGTTTTGATAAAGTTCCATAGTTATGACAATATTCCCTTGGTTTTGACAATATTCCCCAGGTTTTGACAATATTCCCCAGGTTTTGACAACATTCCCAAGGTTTTGACAACATTCCCCAGGTTTTGACAATATTCCCCAGGTTTTGACAATATTCCCCAGGTTTTGACAATATTTTTAGAGTCAGTTTAAACTATGTTTAAGCTTTACTACTGTAAGATGTACATGAAAGCTGTGTAATGCAAATATGTTTATTATTTATTTATTATTTATTTATTACCTGTTGTTTTTTTCTTTCACAGAAAAACTTGCCTCATCTGGGAATGCTTTAGAGAAATATAATACACACAAGAAACTTGGAGCAGGGTAGGAGATTGAACATGTTCTTTACTTATTAGAATGTGTGCTGTATACATATAGGATCTTACATGAGTTTCCATTTCATTTGAGATTTATGAAACTCGTCACAATTTTTTAGGTCACCTGAGCTTTGCTCAAGTGACCTATTCCAATCGCTTTTCGTCCGTCGTCGTCCGTCGTCCGTCGTGCGTCGTGCGTAAACTTTTACATTTTCAACTTCTTCTCAAGAACCAGTGGATGGATTTTTTTCAAACTTGGTCAGAATCATCCTTGGTAGATGAGGCTTCAAAATTGTAAAATTGGGATTCCTACCCCCACCCCTGGGGCCAGGGCGGGGCCCCAAAGGGAAAATTATCCAATATTTCAAAAATCTTCTTCTCCAGACTCAGAGGTACTACAGTGATTTTCTCTACGTGGAAAGAAAGATCATCAGGGGCTTTACTTAAATTGTAAATTTCAGGACCCCCGAGCTATCCGTTCTCCCTTGGGGAGGGGGTAAAGTTTACTATAGTTTATATAGGGAAATAACACTTTTGGGTATATTTTGACAACTTTCTGTAGGAAATTATTTTTACTTGGTGAGAATTATCCTTGGAGGTAGATGGTTTCAAATTGTAAAATTGAGATTCCTACCCCGACCCCTGGGGCCAGGGCGGGGCCCCAAAGGGAAAATTAATCAATATTTCAAAAATCTTCTTCTCCAGACTCAGAGGTACTACAGTGATTTTCTCTACGTGGAAAGAAAGATCATCAGGGGCTTTACTTAAATTGTAAATTTCAGGACCCCCGAGCTATCCGTTCTCCCTTGGGGAGGGGGTAAAGTTTACTATAGTTTATATAGGGAAATAACACTTTTGGGTATATTTTGACAACTTTCTGTAGGAAATTATTTTTACTTGGTGAGAATTATCCTTGGAGGTAGATGGTTTCAAATTGTAAAATTGAGATTCCTACCCCGACCCCTGGGGCCAGGGCGGGGCCCCAAAGGGAAAATTAATCAATATTTCAAAAATCTTCTTCTCCAGACTCAGAGGTACTACAGTGATTTTCTTTACGTGGAAAGAAAGATCATCAGGGGCTTTATTTAAATTGAAAATATCAGGACCCCGAGCTATCCGTTCTCCCTTGGGGAGGGGTTAACGTTTAATATAGTTTATATAGGGAAATAACACTTTTCGGTATATATTTTATATATTTTCAGCAGAAAATTGCTCAAACTTAGTCAGAATCATCTTGGGTAAATGAGAGTTTTACTTTGTAAAATTAGGATTCCTGCCCCATCCCCAGGGGCTAGAGCGGGGCCCCAAAGGGAACATTTACCAATATTTTCAAATTCTTATCCATTGATGACATGACAAGTATTGTATTTCACTTAGTTTACATGCTGATTTCCACATCACATCTAAACAATAAAATAAAGCTACCAGTATCTATGATATAACTCAGGTGACCGCTAAGGCCCTTGGGCCTCTTGTTTATTTTAGCTCGCCAGAGGCTCGCTAAATTGAAAAATTCTGAAGACTCGTTTTATAAATCTCATATGAAATGGAAACCCATGTAAGATGCTTTTTATCACATAATCAAGATTTGTGGCATTTATTAATGTAAAACTACAATTTTCATGCAACCTTGAAATGTAAAAAAGTCGCCATTTTAACTCTAGTGTGTAAGTCAGTGACATCATGTACTTGGCCCTACAAGTTAATACGCAAAAAAAATAAGACATGGGTATATTCACTGGATAACACACAGGACAATATGCGATAATGGTGAATGTGTGTTTTCTGCTAAAAAGGATGTAAATGGTTTTCTAATGATGAGGTGTATGGTTTATTAAGAAACATACATATGTTTTCTACTTATTTAGTGTGTTAGCAATTCTGTGTCTACTTACTCATACTTTTGTGGTCTATTTATATAATTATTATACTTGACCATAAAAAATATTGAAGATAAACATTGTTTTCAAACTATTCAGATTAAATTTTACAGCAATTAACTTTTATATAACCAGGAAATTGACTATTGTGATTAGTTAGGTTTCCAAAGGTCCTAGTTTGAAACAATTTTTGAGTTTGGTTGTAATTTTTGCTGCAGCAGTTGTCCAGTTAGCATGGAAGAACATGGCACTGCAACATGCCTTTATCTGAAAACATGCATGATTTATACTAGCAGTTTGGTTACGTTTTTAGCTCACCTGCTGGCTCGATAAAACAAATTGCATCATGTGCAAAAATCTCAATATTATACATTATATGAACCTCATTATATGAAAATCATATTTTGAGGATCAAGGAAAAAGAGTTTAAATGATTTTATTTGAAACAGGAAATAAAAGTAAAACCCTTATTGCCAGATTATGAATCACATGATTGAGATCAATAAAGTGTAGATAAAATTGTTTAAGGAAATGAGTGCAGTTTTACCATCAAATGGTGCATGTCCCTCTATCATACTTCCCATCCTGTTCTAAGATAGCTGCTATTTGTACCAGGCAGTCCACATACCTCCAATACCTTGTAATTCTGTCATGTGTACAGTGGGAACATATTAATTGAGGGTACTGATTGTATGAAACACTATTTTACTAGCGTAACCTGCAGAAGTACACATGTGCTTTCTGTACTTAAATTATATAATAAAAGTTTGCTGCCAGTTAGAGGTACAATTGTACCATAGTTATTCCATGTAGCATACTTAAATAACATCAACTATAAAGAACTATTAGTGTAGGGTTTGTTATATGTATACATCACTCTTAGACAATTCATTTTTGAATGGGTTTGATCAAGCATTAAACAAAAGGTCAAGATTAGTTTATGTTTCATGGTCTCAAATAAGGTCATAGTCAATGTCACTGTTGATAAGCACAAGCTTCTCATCGGCGTCCAGAAGGTTAAGATACAGGGTTGTTACGGCCATAGTGTTCCATTAGGATACAGTGCTGTTAGGGCCATAGTGTTCCATTAGGATACAGTATTGTTAGGGCCATAGTGTTCCATTAGGATACAGTATTGTTAGTGCCATAGTGTTCCATTAGGATACAGTGCTGTTAGGGCCATAGGGTTCCATTAGGATACAGTGCTGTTAGGGCCATAGTGTTCCATTAGGATACAGTGCTGTTAGTGCCATAGGGTTCCATTAGGATACAGTGCTGTTAGGGCAATAGTGTTCCATTAGGATACAGTATTGTTAGGGCCATAGTGTTTCATTAGGATACAGTGCTGTTAGGGCCATAGTGTTCCATTAGGATACAGTATTTTTAGGGCCATAGTGTTACATTAGGATACAGGGTTGTTACGGCCATAGTGTTCCATTAGGATACAGTGCTGTTAGGGCCATAGTGTTCCATTAGGATACAGTATTGTTAGTGCCATAATGTTCCATTAGGATACAGTGCTGTTAGGGCCATAGGGTTCCATTAGGATACAGTACTGTTAGGGCCATAGTGTTCCATTAGGATACAGGGTTGTTACGGCCATAGTGTTCCATTAGGATACCGGGTTGTAACGGCCATAGTGTTCCATTAGGATACAGGCCATAGTGTTACATTAGGATACAGGGGTGTTACGGCCATAGTGTTCCATTAGGACACAGTATTGTTAGGGCCATAGTGCTCCATTAGGATACAGGGTTGTTATGGCCATAGTGTTCCATTAGGATACCGGGTTGTAACGGCCATAGTGTTCCATTAGGATACAGGCCATAGTGTTACATTAGGATACAGGGTTGTTACGGCCATAGTGTTCCATTAGGACACAGTATTGTTAGGGCCATAGTGTTTCATTAGGATACAGTGCTGTTAGGGCCATAGCGTTCCATTAGGATACAGTACTGTTAGGGCCATAGTGTTTCATTAGGATACAGTATTGTTAGGACCATAGTGTTCCATTAGGATACAGGGTTGTTAGGGCCATAGTGTTCCACTAGGTTACAGTGTTGTTAGGGCCATAATGTTCCATTAGGATACAGTATTGTTAGGGCCATAGTGTTCTATTAGGATACAGTGCTGTTAGGGCCATAGTGTTCCATTAGGATACAGTGGTGTTAGGGCCATAGTGTTCCACTAGGTTACAGTTTTGTTAGGGCCATAGTGTTCCATTAGGATACAGGGTTGTTACGGCCATAGTGTTCCATTAGGATACAGTATTGTTAGGGCCATAATGTTCCATTAGGATACAGTATTGTCAGGGCCATAGTGTTCTATTAGGATACAGTGCTGTTAGGGCCATAGTGTTACATTAGGATACAGGGTTGTTAGTGTTATAGTGTTCCATTAGGATACAGTGTTGTTAGGGCCATAAAGTGTTCCATTAGGATACAGTGTTGTTAGGGCCAAAGTGTTCCATTAGGATACAGTGCTGTTAGGGCCATAGTGTTACATTAGGATACAGGGTTGTTAGGGTTATAGTGTTCCATTAGGATACAGGGTTGTTAGGGCCATAGTGTTCCATTAGGATACAGTGTTGTTAGGGCGATAGTGTTCCATTAGGATACAGTGCTGTTAGGGCCAAAGTGTTCCATTAGGAAACAGTGTTGTTAGGGCCATAGTGTTCCATTAGGATACAGTATTGTTAGGGCCATAGTGTTCCATTAGGAAACAGTGTTGTTAGGGCCATAGTGTTCAATTAGGATACAGTGTTGTTAGGGCCATAGTGTTTCACTAGGTTACAGTGTTGTTAGGGCCATAGTGTTTCACTAGGTTACAGTGTTGTTAGGGCCATAGTGTTCCACTAGGTAACAGTGTTAGGGCCATAGTGTTCCATTAGGATACAGTGTTGTTAGGGCCATAGTGTTCCATTAGGATACAGTGTTGTTAGGGCCATAGTGTTCCATTAGGATACAGTGTTGTTAGGGCCATAGTGTTCCATTAGGATACAGTGTTGTTAGGGCCATAGTGTTCCATTAGGATACAGTGTTGTTAGGGCCATAGTGTTCCATTAGGATACAGTGTTGTTAGGGCCATAGTGTTCCATTAGGATACAGTGTTGTTAGGGCCATAGTGTTCCATTAGGATACAGTGTTGTTAGGGCCATAGTGTTCCATTAGGATACAGTGTTGTTAGGGCCATAGTGTTCCATTAGGATACAGTGTTGTTAGGGCCATAGTGTTCCATTAGGATACAGTGTTGTTAGGGCCATAGTGTTCCATTAGGATACAGTGTTGTTAGGGCCATAGTGTTCCATTAGGATACAGTGTTGTTAGGGCCATAGTGTTCCATTAGGATACAGTGTTGTTAGGGCCATAGTGTTTCACTAGGTTACAGTGTTGTTAGGGCCATAGTGTTCCACTAGGTTACAGTGTTGTTAGGGCCATAGTGTTCCACTAGGTAACAGTGTTAGGGCCATAGTGTTCCATTAGGATACAGTGTTGTTAGGGCCATAGAGTGTTCCATTAGAATACAGTGTTGTTAGTGTTATAGTGTTCCATTAGGATACAGTGTTGTTAGTGTTATAGTGTTCCACTAGGTTACAGTGTTGTTAGGGCCATAGTGTTCCACTAGGTAACAGTGTTAGGACCATAGTGTTCCATTAGGATACAGTGCTGTTAGGGCCATAGAGTTCCATTAGAATACAGTGTTGTTAGTGTTATAGTGTTCCATTAGGATACAGTGTTGTTAGTGCCATAGTGTTCCATTAGGATACAGGGTTGTTAGGGCCATAGTGTTTCACTAGGTTACAGTGTTGTTAGGGTCATAGTGTTTCACTAGGTTACAGTGTTGTTAGGGTCATAGTGTTTCACTAGGTTACAGTGTTGTTAGGGCCATAGTGTTCCACTAGGTAACAGTGTTAGGGCCATAGTGTTCCATTAGGATACAGTGTTGTTAGTGCCATAGTGTTCCACTAGGTTACAGTGTTGTTAGGGCCATAGTGTTCCACTAGGATACTGTGTTGTTAGGGTCAAAGTGAGCCACTACAATACAGTGTTATTAAGGTCAAAGTGTGCCACTACAATACAGTTAAGAGTGCCACTAAGATACAGTGTTTTTAGGGCCAATAAATGTGCAACTAAGATATGGTTATAAGTGTGCTACTAGGAATATTAATGAGTAGTAAGGGCCATAGTGTTCCATTAGGATACAGTGTTGTTAGGGCCATGTAGTGTTCCATTAGGATACAGGGTACTTAGGGCCATAGTGTTCCATTAGGATATATAGAGTGCTGTTAGGGTGAAAGTGTACCACTACAATACAGTGTTGTTAGGGCCATAGTGTTCCATTTGGATACAGTGTTGTTAGGGTCAAAGTGCACCACTACAATACAGTGTTGTTAGGGCCATAGTGTTCCATTAGGATATATACAGGGCTGTTAGGGTGAAAGTGTGCCACTACAATACAGTGTATACAGTGTTGTTAGGGTCATAGTGTTCCCTTAGGATACAGAATTGTTACGGCCAAAGTGTTCCATTAGGATACAGCGTTGTTAGGGTCATAGTGTTCCACTAGGATACAGAGTTGTTAGGGCCATAGTTTTCCATTAGGATACAGTGTTTTTAGGGCCATAGTGTTCCATTAGGATACAGTGTTGTTAGGGTCAAAGTGCACCACTACAATACAGTGTTGTTAGGGCCATAGTGTTCCATAAGGATACAGTGTTGTTAGGGTCATAGTGTTCCATTAGGATACAGAGTTGTTACGGCCAAAGTGTTCCATTAGGATACAGGGTTGTTACGGCCATAGTGTTACATTAGGATACAGTATTGTTAGGGCCAAAGTGTTCCATTAGGATACAGGGTACTTAGGGCCATAGTGTTCCATTAGGATATATACAGTGCTGTTAGGGTGAAAGTGTACCACTACAATACAGTATTGTTAGGGCCATAGTGTTCCATAAGGATACAGTGTTGTTAGGGTCAAAGTGCGCCACTACAATACAGTGTTATTAAGGTCAAAGTGCGCCACTACAATACAGTGTTATTAAGGTCAAAGTGTGCCACTACAATACTGTTAAGTGTGCCACTAAGATACAGTGTTTTTAGGGCCAATAAATATGCAACTAAGATACGGTTATAAGTGTGCTACTAGGAATATTAATGAGTAGTAAGGACCATACTGTGCCTTTAGGATACATTGTTAGAGCCAAGTGTGCCATAATTATAGGATGCTGTGCTGTTAGGACCATAGTGTGCCTTTAGGATACATTGTTAGGGCCAAGTGTGCTATAATTATAGGATGCTGTGCTGTTAGGACCATATTGTGCCTTTAGGATACATTGTTGGGGCCAAGTGTTAGGACCATAGTGTGCCTTTAGGATACATTGTTAGGGCCAAGTGTGCTATAATTATAGGATGCTGTGCTGTTAGGACCATAGTGTGCCTTTAGGATACATTGTTGGGGCCAAGTGTGCTATAATTATATGATGCTGTGCTGTTAGGACCATAGTGTTGTTAGGGTTAAGGTTTGCCAAATCACTTTTAACGTGATCCACAGCATTGAATAGTTGTTAGCTCACCTGGCACGAAGTGCCAAGTGAGCTTATGCCGCGGCGCGGCGTCCGTTGTCCGTCCGTCTGTCCTCGTCCGTCAACTTTTCCTTTAAACAACTTCTTCTGAAGAACGGACAGGCCTAGAGTCATGATATTTGGCTGAAAGCTTCGTTGGTAGGAGCCCTACAAAGTTTGAGAACGAAAATGACCTTGACCTGTTTTCAAGGTCACAGGGGTCAAATATGTCAAAAACTTCAAACGACTTCTTCTAAAGAACTAAAAGGTATAGAATCTTCATATTTGGCTGATGGCTTCCTGGGATAGAGCCCAACAAAGTTTGAGAATGAAAATGACCTTGACCCACTTTCAAGGTCACAGGGGTCAAATGTGTCAAACACTTCAAACGACTTCTTCTGAAGAACTGAAAGGTATAGAATCTTCATATTTGGCTGGTGGCTTCCTGGGATAGAGCCCAACAAAGTTTGAGAATGAAAATGACCTTGACCCACTTTCAAGGTCACAGGGGTCAAATGTATCAAACACTTCAAACGACTTCTTCTGAAGAACTAAATTGTATAGAATCTTCATACTTGGCTTGTAGCTTCCTAGGAAAGAGCCGAACAAAGTTTGAGGATGGAAATGACCTTGACCTACTTTTAAGGTCACATGAGGCAGATATGTCAAACACTTTAAACGACTTCTTCTGAAGAACTGGAAGTTATAAAATTATAATATTTGGCTGGTGACTTCCCGGGATAGAGCTCACCAAAGTTTGCGAATGAAAATGACCTCAACCTACTCTAGAGGTCACAGAGGTCAACAACATTTTAATGGATTTGTTCTTGAGAACTAAAAGGAATGGATTCATAAGATTTGGCTGGTAGCTTTTTGGAATAGAGCTAACCAATTTGAGAAGTAAAATGACATTGACCTTATGTCAAGCAACTTCTAAAGAAGAATCAAAAAGCATAGAATCTTATAATAATATTTTGCTGGTAGTTTCAACAGATGGAGCCAACAAAGTTTGCGAGGGAAATATTTTGAGTGCAATATAATATTTAATGAGAATATTTTGCTATGACTGCTTAAATATTCAGGTGAGCGATACAGGCCCTCTTGGGCCTCTTGTTCAGGTTTATTTGTATTTCTGTCATATTTGAATATAAAATATGTTGACCTTTGAACTGCATATATTGTAGGGCTTCAGGAACAGTTTGCATGGCCAATCCAAAAGATCCAGCTGAGGCAGATCAAGTCGTAGCCATCAAGATAATGGACCTCAACAACCAGCCCAAGAAGGAGCTGCTCATCACAGAAATAGAAGTTATGAAAACACACAAACATCAGAACATTGTCAACTTCCTTGACTGTTACTTCCTGGACGTTAAACAGGAGTTGTGGGTGGTGATGGAGTATTTAGATGGGGGAGCGTTAACTGATGTTGTCACGGAAACAATAATGAATGAGGGACAGATTGCTGCTGTGACACGCGAGTGTTTACAGGCCTTAGATTTTCTCCACTCTAGAAGTATTATCCACCGGGACATTAAAAGTGACAATGTACTACTAGGCATGAACGGGGCTGTTAAGTTGACAGACTTTGGTTTCTGTGCCCAGTTAAGTGGAGACAACTGTAAAAGACAAACCATGGTTGGTACACCCTATTGGATGGCACCAGAGGTCGTGTCCAGGTATTAATCAATTAATTACTCAACAACAATGCCTCCTTTTGTCTCACTTAATAAATATAATTCATATTTCAATAAACATCCAATCACATGTGTACTATTGAGAAGGGTTGAATTTGGAACATGTATCATTTGGGAAACAGGTGTGCAAGTTTTTAATATATCATGTATAATCTGATGTATGAAAAAATCCAAAAATCTAGTTTGAATCAATAGGTTGCACATTGCCTTTGATAGCACTTTTAAATAGTCTGACACAGAAACATTTGTAATATTTGCTTGAACATTTTGATTTTAGAAAAATGAAAAATGATATATGTATGTTGTAGGGGAGATAACCAGCTTTGGCCAGCATGGTGAAGGAAGTGTTGTAATCATTGATATTTATTGATATTTAAATTTTCAGAAAACACTATGACAAGAAGGTAGACATCTGGAGTATGGGAATTATGATAATTGAGATGTTGGAGGGGGAACCTCCTTACCTGAACGAGACCCCACTGAAAGCAATCTATCATATTGCGGCCAAGGGAAAGCCGGAGATAAAAGACATCCACAAACTGTCCAAGGAGCTACAGGTATTCCTCGATATGACCCTAGATGTGGCAGTGGACAAACGAGCAGACACAGCGGCACTCCTGAAGCATGAGTTCCTCCTCAAGGCTAAGCCTCTCTTGTCACTCAAGCCACTCATAGTGGCCGCTAAGAATGCCACCGGCCACTGAGTCATCAGTATGCCTGAGTGCATTATTGTCCTAACATCAGTTATAGAATGTAATGGGGTCATTATATCCTGGTAGAAACAACCAAAGTAAAGGTGTTACAGTTGACAATCATTTGTCTGTAAGTTCAATAACTTTCAGATAAATGGTAATTCTTATTAACAAACAATGTGTTATGTTTTGTAATTTTAATCTCCATTGGACATGTATTTCAATATAAAAGTAGTCTGTTCTGTTCACTGAATAGTTACACATCAAAATATGATTGATATTAATATTAATTATCACAATATTCAAAGAGATTTGAGATCTAGATAAAACAATATTTTTGGTCCCTTTTTTAAATTAATTTTAAATGGAGTAATGGACTCATATTTGTATATGATGTCACAAGACGTTTATATAGCAATACAAGATTTCAGAAGACAAACGAAGTAGATTTTACAGAACCAATGGGAGAGTTTTGAAGCATTGGTAGGTATGGACCGTGGGATCTGATGTTAGTTCCTAGGAAGCTTAACCATTGATGCTTTGAAGGCCTGTATTAACATTAACAGGTCTATACCATTTGAAACATTTTTTATTGAAAAGTAAGCAATCCAGTTGATATGCTGAATGAAAGGGTCCAAACTTAAGGCGTTGGTATTTTATTCCTGAATAAAGTATCCAAGGGAAATAACTCTATTGACGTGTAGAATTTGTGGAGTTTTAAGTCTACTATAAATTACATAGCTGACCAACAAAAAGAGTTTTCTTTAAGCTGAGGTGAGTTCAAGCTGAGTGTGAGGCTTTGGTGTCTACTATACTATTAGGTCACATACCCTCAGATTCCAGCTCAAGCTGAGTATGACGATACGTTTCAACCTTAATATCATTTACACTATAAGTCCACTACGAGCTTCGTTTGAGCTTAGGTTGGTCAGATGTGTTGAAAGTGTGATAAATCTCTATACTGGGATAAGAAATGAGATATAGGGTTTATAGACAAGGTACTTAGGTAAGCTTAACACACATTGCCCAAGGTTGATCAGCTATACACAGAACAAAGATGTAAAGCCCCATCAATCAATCAAAGCTAAACAGTTTGTATCAATGCTGGCCAATGTTTATAACAAATAATATGCAAAAAAAAAAGAAGATAAAAAATATGAAGAAATGTTACTTCATATTTTATTGAATGTTGACGAATAATTCATTTGAATGTATAGGTAGTAAACATATTTGTTGACATTATTGTTCTCATTGAAATTACATGCATGAAGTTTTAAATTTTTATGAACTTTTCATGTGTATTTTATTGTTTTTGATATCATACTTAACTATTTATATATATGCTAATGCTTATAGCTAATTCAGTGAAAAAATGGATCCTTGATATATAGATTTGTGCATTCCACATAACATCTCGTTTACTTTTGATAGAATCAGCCGGAAAGTTCTCTTCATATTTGATAAAAAATTGAACTGACCTATTTTCATATTATTGACATGATGTCATTATCATTGGTTACAAGGTCCTGGATTGTGTTCAGTAAAGGAGCTGCAAAATGTTGTGTAGGAATGGTCATATATCAGGACATGGATATAACAATGGATAATTTTAGGATTGACATAGATATTGTAAGAGATTCAAAGTAAAGCTACCAGTCAAATTTAGATATTACAGTTATATTGGAAAGGGACTACTTGGTCAACCTTTTTTATGTGCAGAAAAATATGTTTCAGTTTTCATTTGTTGAAATATACTTTCAGTGATCTTATAGACTGAATTCAAAATATTGTATTTTTTAGCTTAAGAACTAGTAAGAAAGACAGTAAAATAGCTGAAAATCAGTAAGGATTCTAGAAGCATTTATTTTTTGTATCATATAACTGCATTTTGATAAAAAAAAGAAAACGTTTTGATAAAAACAACTTAACATTGCTCTTCAAAACATTACAGATATGTATTGCACAGATATTTTATATTACCTGGTATACCAAGCTTCAAATTTCTCTTCTGATTTTGTTTGTCATCAAATCACTCCTAAAAGAAAATATATCATGTCTACAGTCGCTAAAACTTCATCCAACTGAATTGTTTCCCATCATGCTGAAGCTGTCGACTGGACATCAGTGGTATGCAGAATTGTCACATCAATATTTAATGTGTAATTGTCTCCCTTAGCATCATCTGTATTATGACAACACGAATGTGTTCCCTCATGTGCTCTATTCACACTGAAACATTTTTAACCATGTTTTTGCGATTTGATTTTTTTTGACGAAGTGATATTTTGTGAACCTTTTAGAAATTTTCATTATACATGAGTGACAAACAATTAAAAATGAAAGCAACGAAATAATTTAGCACTGATCATGTTTACTTTTGAGAATATTGTAGTGGTTGATGTGGGGTTTGTTTGTGAAGAGCTTTGTGGACTATCATTAGTCTCACTAGAACCCATGGTTTTGACTGATAATGATATTACTGATGATGTGATGGCTAGTAGTTTTATATATATAGGTAGGATATCTAGAGAAGAGTTATTTAACGGCTAGACTACATCATTCATCATCAGATCAATTAGACCACAGGTACCAATTGAGAATGAGGAAAACAGAACTAATGAACTAATGTACAGATGGTCAGTCTATTAGTGCATTAGTGTTTTATTTCTCGTTCTCGACGTACTTGTGTTGAGACCAACTTCTATGCAACCTTGTGAGTGAGTTCACATTTGTGTGAAGTGTTGAGCACACATTTGTAAATAAAGTGTGTGAGTACACATTTGTACATAGTGACAGGATCATATTTTCATTATTAGCTCACCTGGCACGAAGTGCCAAGTGAGCTTATGCCGTGGCGTGGCGTCTATCGTCCGTCCGTCCGTCCTCGTCCGTCAACTTTTCCTTTAAACAACTTCTTCTGAAGAACGGACAGGCCGAGAGTCATGATATTTGGCTGAAAGCTTCGTTGGTAGGAGCCCTACAAAGTTTGAGAACGAAAATGACCTTGACCTGTTTTCAAGGTCACAGGGGTGAAATATGTCAAAAACTTCAAACGACTTCTTCTAAAGAACTAAAAGGTATAGAATCTTCATATTTGGCTGATGGCTTCCTGGGATAGAGCCCAACAAAGTTTGAGAATGAAAATGACCTTGACCTACTTTCAAGGTCACAGGGGTCAAATATGTCAAAAACTTCAAACGACTTCTTCTGAAGAATTAAAAGGTATAGAATCTTCATATTTGGCTGATGGCTTCCTTGGATGGAGCCCAACAAAGTTTGAGAATGAAAATTACCTTGACCTTCTTTCAAGGTCACAGGGGTCAAATGTGTCAAACACTTCAAACGACTTCTTCTGAAGAACTGAAAGGTATATAATCTTTATATTTGGCTGGTGGCTTCCTGGGATAGAGCCCAACAAAGTTTGAGAATGAAAACTAGTTTGACCTACTTTCAAGGTCACAGGGGTCATATATGTCAAAAGCTTCAAATGACTTCTTCTGAAGAACTGAAAGGTATAGAATCTTTATTTTTGATTGATGGCTTCCTTGGATAGAGCCCGACAAAGTTTGAGAATGAAAATGACCTTGACCTTCTTTCAAGGTCACAGGAGTCAAATGTGTCAGACACTTCAAACGACTTCTTCTGAAGAACTGAAAGGTATATAATCTCTATATTTGGCTTGTAGCTTCCTAGGAAAGAGCCGAACAAAGTTTGAGAATGAAAATGACCTTGACCTTCTTTTAAGGTCACATGAGGCAGATATGTCAAACACTTTAAACGACTTCTTCTGAAGAACTGGTAGTTATAAAATCTTAATATTTGGCAGGTGGCTTCCTGGGAAAGAGCCAAACAAAGTTTGCGAATGAAAATGACCTTGACCTACTTTCAAGGTCACAGCGTTCAAATATGTCAAACAGTTCAAACAGCTTCTTCTGAAGAATTAAAAGGCATAAAATTATAATATTTGGCTGGTGACTTCCCGGGATAGAGCTCACCAAAGTTTGCAAATGAAAATGACCTCAACCTACTTTAGAGGTCACAGAGGTCAACAACATTTTAATGGATTTGTTCTTGAGAACTAAAAGGAATGGATTCATAAGATTTGGCTGGTAGCTTTTTGGAATAGAGCTAACCAATTTGAGAAGGAAAATGACATTGACCTACTTACAAGATCACAGGGAAAAGTATGTCAAGCAACTTCTGAAGAAGAATCAAAAAGCATAGAATCTTATAATAATATTTTGCTGGTAGTTTCAACAGATGGAGCCAACAAAGTTTGCGAGGGAAATATTTTGAGTGCAATATAATATTTAATGAGAATATTTTGCTATGACTGCTTAAATATTCAGGTGAGCAATACAGGCCCTCTTGGGCCTCTTGTTTATTTTGAAGTCATGCATGTACTGTCTTCAAGTACATCTACTCTATTTGCAATAAGAGTTACCTCCCTTTCATCTAAACTAGTTTATACATTTCATATGTTGCCAGCTTTCTTGACTGGATCTATTATAGCAAAGAAATGTCCATTAATGCTTATTAATGCTCTTTGTTTCATTTTCTTTTCCTTTATACTTTAACATTACAAAATACATATATTTTAATGCTGCAGACTAAAAGAAATATAACCGTTTAGAACTTTCTGGAAAAAAAAGAAAAGAAATTTAAAGTGCTCATTTGTATATATAATTATTATATGGATTTTTGTGAAGCATGTCATAACAATAATATACTGAGCTTGAATGAACAAGGAGTTATCATAACAGTAAAATAAATTCTTTTAAGTTTACTCGATATCAATTTATAAGAGAGGGAAACCGTGGGATTGATCAACTTTATATATTAGAATTTACAACTTTGGTATGGTCTTCCATTGACGTGTCATTAAATGATGTGTTGTCCAGTATGTGTGTACCCAGTGACGTCGACTACAGGTCTGTGTAGTAGTGGACAGGTGTGTAGTAGTGGACAGGTCTGTAGGTGTGGACAGGTGTGTGTGTTGTATATTGCTGGACAAACTTTAGTCTGGTGTTACTCTGCATTGTCTTGTAAGGATCATAATTCCAGTGAATTATTATCTTTTATCAGTTTGCATTATTGCCAATTTTATACATAATTAATGAATGTTTCAAAAGGGATAGTTTTCAGTAAATCGTTTTTAAAGCCAGTTTATACACATTTTATGCAAATTAGTCATCTGATCATGGCCTTATAAATGTTTGGGATTTTTGTATTTTTTTGTGTCAAAAATTAATTGATGGCAAAAGTGTCGGTTTTAAATGACAGTTTGGCTCAAGAAATATTTTAATTTGTTGCTAACTTGAGCAAGGCATCTAAATGTAATGTGATGTGTTCACAGCTTTGTTCCACCATGTTCCTTTGTACGCTAGCTTTGAATGGTGACCAGTTCGATGATTAATGTGTCTGTATATTTTTGTACACACTACTTTTATCTCTGTTACAAAGTACATTCCTTTGCTTCTGTTTATATGCTTAGGCTTTTTTTATCATTTCTATAAATCATACGACAATAAAACAAAGTATTCTGATATTGTTTTCTTTTCGTTCTATTTTGTTGTGAATTCTTAACTGAGACTAAATTACATAAATGAAAATGACTTTACGCTGTGTGCTGACAAAGGTAGCTGTTTACCTCGCCTTACCCGGCACAGAGCGTCTGTCTGGCTGCCATCCGCATTTTAGCCAACCACCAACATTACCCTTATTTTGTTCCGCTATTTCTCAGGAAATAATGGAAGGATCTTTCACATATTTCATATGTAAGTTTCCAATGGTCTTTATTTGTGTGTGTCTACTTTTGAGACTGATTCGATAAACAAATGGCTGACAGGCAGCCATCTTGGATTTTGACAGTTAAAGTTTGTTATTGCTAATTCTTAGAAGGTATGAAGGGATTTTTCTCAAATTTGATATGTAGATTCCCCTTGGACCAATGGTCCTCAGTTGTGCATATTTTATTTTTAGAGTGATCATAAAAACAAGATGGTTGCAGGAAGTACTTAATAGATGTTTCTCATATTGCCCTGATCGGTTCTATTTCTTTCACATTTTACTTGTAAATATGTGAAACAACAAACTCACTTTGAAGGTTGTGCTTTATACAGGGTGTTACTAGATCAAAGTTACCTCGAGGTGCATTTACTGTGAGAGATTGAACTGACGGAACTAATGAAGCAAGTACAATGGTGGGCGACAAGATCCCTCTGGTTTCCTGTGAACGGGTGATGATTTTTTGCCAGGAGTGAGGTAAAAGGCTACCAAGTTAGTTCAAATGGATGTCCTTGACCTGCTTTCAAAGGTCACAAGGGTCAAATATGTTAAAATATTTTAACAATTTCTTCTGAATATCCAAAGTCCCAGGGTAAATATGTCTGGCCAATTGTGTGCCGGGATGGATTGCTATCAAGTTTATTCAATTGAGTGATCTTGACCAAGGTCATGTCACAGAGATCAAAAGTTAAATGGTAGTTAAAAAAACTTTTTTTTTAAATAACCCAAAAGCCCAAGATGATAACATCTGCCCAGTAGTTTTTGATGAAAGTCGACCAAGTTTGTGCAAATTAATGACTTTGACCGACTTTTAAAGTCACCGGGATCACATTTTATTTCTTTTCTTAAAAACCCAAATGCGTAGGTTGATGACAATTGGCAAGGAGTATGCAGGAGTAAAGGGCTTCCAAGTTTATTTTCGAATTGATGACCTTTACTCTCTTTTAAGGCCACAAGGGTCAAAGTCGTTTAAACAACTTTTGATATATACCAAAAGGACATAGAGGGATGATATTTCGCCAGTGGCATGCCAGGATGAAGGGCGACCTACTTGGTTCAAATGAATGATCTTGACTCATTTCCAAAGTCACAGAAGTCAATTGTTCAAACAACTTATCAATAGCCAACATGTCCATGGTGATATTTGACAAGTGGCATGCTGGGATGAAGGAATACCAAGTTTGATCAAATGAATGACCTTGACCCCCTTTTAAGGTCTCAGGAGTAAAGTATGTTGATATTGTTAACACCTTCTGAATAAACAAAAGGCCCAGGGTGATGATATCTGGGCAGTAGTATACTGGGATGATGGCCTTTCAAGGTATCTGGGGTTGAGGATGTTAAGATCTTTTAAACAACTTCTGCTGAATAACTGAAAGGCCCATGGTGGTGATGTCTGGGCAGCAGCCAGAAATAGCATATTGTTATAATTGGCCAGCAAGTTTGTTCAATGAAGACATTGGCCCACTTTCAAGTCACGGGAGTCTAATAGCTTCTTTTCACATGATGATGATATTTGGCCAGTTAAATGCTAAGATGAATGGATGCCAAAATAAATGACATATACCTACTTGCAAGGGCACTGAGGTCTAATTAATGTGCATTACCCTTCATATGGTCTCTTGCAATAATGCAAAGGCAGTGGCCAATGCTATTTAGCTAGTTGCATGCTTAGATGGAAGTGCTATTAAGTTTGTTTAACTGAATGACCTTTGTAAGACCTTCAAGGTCACAATGGCCAATTTGTTAATATTTTTATTAT